TTTTAAACCTAAAAAAGCAGAAAGGCTTGCCCTGTCTTACCATCAGTTTCAATTGATAGGAAAACGCAAAATCTTCCATTTCAAGATTATTTCCTTAAGTCATGCAGTGTCCTTTTCCTCTTTAAGACCTCTTATGTTCATGTGATAATCCTAACTTGAACTATTGATTGTTTGTTTTACCAGCCTGTGTCCCATCATGCCTGAATCTGTGTTTAGCATGTCTATGAGACTGTACACTCGACAATAGTTGTCTCACTTTTATTTTATCACTGACTAGCTAGTGTGTTGTAGTCAACAGGAAAAGAAGGGCGGTTAATATAAGTTTTGATGATCCAATCTTAATAATGGTGAAAAGAAAGCAATGAGAGGCAGGTACACATTTAGATCAAGTTTAAGACAAATTGTCTTTGCAGTCTATTTATACACATGAAAAATGTACCTGGACATATAGTTCTTCATCAAGAAGTTTAAGTACCCTCTCAATCATAATATCTGCATTCACATGTTTTGCCATTGTCATTACCATATAAATTCTTCAGTTAGAACTGTTCTTCTGTAGCTTAATTACCTCCCAAAGATAAGACAGTACTTTTTCTAAATTTAAATAGGAACAGGTATCTGTTATAGCAGATATCTTTAACAAGATAAGATACCAATTCAGACTTAAGACGTTTCTGTAAAGAGACCATGGTCGATTGTTAAAATACAAAGACTTATCTCTGGATAGTTTACTCTATCTTTTCATCCTTGGCCAGAAATTGTTTTATAATGTTGGCAATATCAGCATAGCAAGACACCAGCTGGACACCCTTTGTCATTAGAGTGAATTGATCCTTTCATGTTCCTATATATATATAAATATTTTAGATATATAATCAATGCTTACATACACACACACACACACGATACATGTTTATATGAAGCCGCAGTGAAGGACTGGTAGAAGCAGATAGTATTCTACATGTGATCTTGTCAAACAGCGTGGAAAGGATTCTTATCTGTGATTTAAAGTGATTCTACAGTATGTACCTGTCTGACTCTGCTGCTCCTGAGAAGTGGAGAAGAGAGGAGGAGGAGGAGGAGGAGGAGGAGGAGGAGGAGTAGACAGAGAAGGAGGAGAGATGGGAAGAGGAACGTACCCAAACGAGGAGAACCGAGGGAGGGACTGTGTGTTGGGATGGGAGGGAGGAGGGGGAGGAGGCAAATGCAGGGGGAGGACTTTGGAAGGGGGGTATGAGTGTCCGTTGGCCGAGGCAATGGGACAGGGGTTGGGCCTGCGGAGGAGGAGGGTGTGGCACTGCTGGGAGGGGGAGTGACCTGGACACAAGCCATTAGGAGTAGGGAGGTGCAAAACAACAACAACAACACAACAACAACAACAATAACTGATCAGTCAACTTGAAACAAAACAAATCTTAATAATGTAAAAACAATAATTGATTAAATCAAAAATGACAAATAAATACATCCACACATCCACAGGGAAGATTTCTCTCAAAATATAATATCACCACAGCAACAAAGCAAACAAACAATATGAAAACAAGCATCACAAGCTAGCAGAGCAGGTGGGATAAGAGGTTCATAGACTAGGGGAGGGTGACAGAGGGAGCAGAAATATAAAGGAAGAGAGGAGGGTCAGTAGGGGGCAGTATTTTATCTTTAGAGATGATTGACAGGTTGGGAGAAATGGATGGACTACCTAAAGAGGCCCATGATGCTGCAGCTAGCTACAACTAATGGTCAGCTTTAGCTACAGAACAGTTGCTTAGCTTACACACACACAACCACACATTGCATCCCCCCCCCCACCTCCCCCTCAACACACACACACACACACACACACACACACACACACAGCTGTGATGCGGGTGGTCACCTGCCCTCTTGATGACTTCCACCATGTTAGAGGGGAAGTAACCAACACGGTCATTGCCTGTACGGTTGTCGTGAATACAACCTTTCCATCGGCCGTCAGAGTGCTGCTCTAAAACCTGTCAAACAATAAACACACACACACACACACACACACACACATGTTCAGTGAACTAAAATAAGATAAATCATGTTGACACTCTGTAAACAAAAAAAAAATGGACTGGTCTAACTAATAAAATAATACAAAAAATAGGATTAAAAAAAAATTACTTAGCCTTTAAATACACATTTGAACACGTGACACATATTTAGTCCGTGAATGCCTTTTTGTGATGGTTTATTGAGGTGATAAGAAATTTTGGGGCAACAGGGGTCAACACATGCTAAAGACCGCCTTGTTTTGCTTAATTTTTCATGGCCAGCAAGGGACAGGAGACAGAGATATTTTAACACACAATGTGTTTTGCTGGAGACTGTTACTTACTTAATACACCAACATAGATACTCTTTTAGAATATGTACAAGGCACAACAAGTAAAATCTGCATAGTTACTCCTTAACGATGAATGGTAAATCTCAGCATTACTGAAGCTGACGTTATTAGCACAACATTTTGTAGGTGAATTTGAGGAATAAGTTATCTGTAAAAACCTGATCGATAATTGATTATTAAATATTGAACATAAATATATAATTTTCCCAGTTTTATATTAATTTTCAATTGTTGTATAAAAATAAGCAACTACATATAATTAATCTATTTTTTCTTCAGTCTAAACAGATCATATTTTGGCTAATGTTAGCTTTGTCAGTAACTTCTGCTTGCAGCAGTTACACTTTAAAGTCGTAGAGATTTGTGATAGCTTATATCATAGGACTAATTTGAATCCACCCTAATAATGTGATCTTTTGATGTTGATCACCATTAAGTAAAGAATTTGGTTTATCTTAACTGAGATATGTTTGATATTATGAAAAAGCGGAACTGTCTGCAGCTTATACATATCATAAAGCTTAATCAACCTGGAGAAGGTTTAAGGTTTTACTCCTGATGTACTTTACGAAATGATTCATTTTGACAGGAAGACATGTTGCAGTTAAAGTACAGGCTGAGAAACGTGTTTAATGTGATGACAACTGTATTTTTTTACCGTGATAATGTCCCCAGCTTTGATGTTGAGGCTGGTAAGGTCGTAATTGTTGCAATAATCCTTCAGGGCACGCACCTGCATTGCAGCTGAAGCATCTACAACACAAGAGTTTGTATCGTCAGTAAGCAGCGGGATTGGGTCAAATCAAGTAATGGACCAGAACACAGCAGAGATTTTCCGGCCCTTGAAAATGTAACTCCATCAAAGTTGTGTTTGCACTCATGTACTCACCTCTCAGCAGTTGTTTGATCTCTCGGCTGGCCTGTGTAGTGGTGAATTGGTTAACAATGTCCAGGGCAGTTTGACTCAGAGTGTTTCTTACTCCTGCACTGATGCCACTCTGGAGGGAAGTGGAGAGGAAAAAGTGACTGAAGCTGCAGTGTGACACTGTGTCATAACAGAGATAAACTGCATTTTGTGTCAGACTCCCTTAGAGTAGGCTACACGTGTGCTTGTTGCATTTGTTGCGAGTGTGCTGCTACTACATGCACATAAAAATAAAGTTCACTATGGTGAAAGAAATATACAGATCCTTTATTAAAGTAAATGTAGAACCACTGCACTACTACTTTATAGGCGGTGCAGCTGTTTTGATCATATTGTAGATAAGTTTGGTGTTATTTAGGTGTACCTCGTCTTCAACTCCTATTTTTGTTGCAGCCTAAGAGCCGGGTTGTAACACAATGAAGTACGGATCTAAGTATAATTCTGCCTCTTCCGAGATGTATTTTAGTAGTACATGAAAAGGAAATAAAAGGTGCATCACATTTGCTCTTCAATACAGCAAATGTATTCAGTTACATTCAAAGAGAGAACAATAAAAGCATAACCTTTTCAAAACCATAATCCATGGTGACAGGGGGTTGAAAATGAAAAACAAACCAGAGCTGGTTTGATGATTGCACGACAGCGAGGCTGCTAGCCAGTCTGCTACAGTTTTTATATAACAAGCAGACATATCCCACAGGCTTCATCACACACATCCCTGGGATGAGTGCCAAGTGCTGAGGTGTAAACTTGCTCGGATGAGGAGAGGGAGGCAGCTTTAACAACAATTGCTTTTGTAAACACGTTGGACAAATAGACAGACAGAAAGAGAGACAGGCAGATGGTCTTACATCCAGCAGCAGGCGTACTACCTCTGTCTTCCCACAGAGGGCCGCCTGATGTAGCGCTGTGCCAGACTCAGACTGTCTGTTGATATCAATACCAGCCTGAATGAGCAACCTGCAACACAAAGTAACAATTATATTCACCTCTATACATCATAAAATAATGACATGGTAGTAAAGTGACAACAAATATATAAAAACATCTACATTCATGCAAATCCATGCAAGTGTGTCAATAGAAATGTTTCAGAGAACTTTAAATGGACAAAAAACTATGCAGCAATATAAATGTTTTTGATCCAACAGATTTGTAAAATGTGATCTTAATCCTGGTCGGATAAAATGGACTGACAGGTAAATAGAACAGGTTTGAGAACAAACACTGACTGACAGATGCAGAGTGACAAAGACAGGTATTTTTCAGACCGTATAACATCAATGTGTCCGTTCTTAGCAGCGAGATGCAGAGGCGACACTCCATTGGGGTCAGATGGTTTGGGTTCCAGCATGGCTGCGCACATGTTACTGCTAAGCAGGAGCTGGACCACCTAAAAAAAAAGACAAATGTCATGTTCATGTAGAAAACCGAGACAAAATAGTCGTGGCACATTTTTATAATTGAGTGTAGTCCCTGTTGATGAATCCCATGTATGCTCGACTCCCCGGTGGACACTTTCTGAAAAGTTTTGGATCTTTACTTAGAACATACTTGGCCTTTACTGTTGTTGCATATAACAATGATTTCCTTAACTGGCTCAATTACGTTTCTACTGCCCTACTACTCGTCTGCTTGCCAAAATTTGGGATACCTCAGGCTCTAAATTTGAACTCTTCATTGTGTAACTGTTTTAAATTGTTCGGCAGTGCAGGCAATTTAAGTTATTATTTGATGTATAGAGAGAACACAAATATGACAGAACATGTGCAGCATTTAGGATGAAAAACAAAACAAAAATAATTCAATTTTTTTCCCTAACAGTATGAATATTTCCAGTGCTACCTAATGTGTGGCTTTTTTAGTCGATAATAAATTAAACAGGGTTATATGAGAAAATAGAAAATACATCTTTACTCTGTTAATTGGTGTTACGTGTTTGGTGTAAAGTGAACTCACTCCAACTCGGCCAAATTCACAGGCCAGGTCCAGTGGTGTTTTCCCCGCTGCGTCTGAGATACACGGGTTGGACTGGTGTTGTAGCAACATCTCTGACTGTAACACACATGAATACACACGCACACACATGCACACATATTTTACTGCAACTTCTGAATTTCATAGCCAGTAATAACCGCAAATCATGCATGCATCATCAGGCACACATAACAGATAAACACACCTCACAAAAACACACACACACACACACACACACACACACACACACACACACACAGCAACTATACACACAAACACAGTTACCCCGTCATAGTGTCCATGCTGAGATGAAAGGTGGAGGGGGATCTGTCCTTCGTCTGACTGTCCGTTGACAGACGAGCCTGCCTTCAGCAGCATTTTCATTGGCTCAGTCTTCCCCTGCCATGCAGCGTAATGCAGAGGACGCATCCCTACACAAAACACACACGTATCGACAAACACACAAAAACGCACGCCCAAGGATGACAGCACAATAAAACATAGAAATACAAGACCCCACCAGCACATGCACACAGAGAAACAAGAGAGTATAAAGATAGGCGAATGCATGCAAAGCCATACACTCTGTAATTGTGATTTTTTTATAGACAGTCGTTTGCTGATGGTTGTCCAGCAGCCAAATATGGTACCTTAATACAATTAAAAGGTAATATACTAAACTCAATGACTAAACTCACTTACTTTGTTCACACTTATGTTGTAAAAATCAATAAAACCAAAAGGGTTGACTGTAGAATTTTGAATTATTTTGACATTTTGAAATATTTATATGTTGGAGCTGAAACAAGATAATTAGTCAGCAACTACAGTGGTAAGCAGTTGATGTTAAAGCAAAATTAAACCTTTCATCTTTTCATGTCAGAAGTTTTGTGTCTCGTAGTAATGTCAACTAAAATCCCTCCATTTGCGCTAGTGGTTTGACACTAGACTCAGTCAGCCCTGGGAAATGTTGATGGACCTTTATTGCTATTTTCTGACAATCTCTGGATGAATTGATCGAGCGATTTGTAGATTATTTGACATACTGTAGATTAAAAGCCTAAATTGCAGCCCTGATGTAAAGGACTTTTTTTCTAAACATTTCAGTTTCGCTGTAGCAGCAGATTTTTTTTTTTCTCAGTATCCCTCCTGGATATGCAATCTTATTGCTGTTGACGTCTTTGTGACCTTTGACCATAGGAGTATTGTTTGTGCAAGCACTCATGGGACATTGGAGACAAACTGCTTCAGACAAAGGGCAAAAAAAATTCCCTTTAAGTGGCCAAACAAGTCCTCAGAGAACCTTAGAACCGCAGGATTGCAGGCAAAACCTTGAGCCATCCAGGAAAAACAAGACAAACCAAAGTTTATTTTAGTTCAGGACAAAAAATGCACATTGGAGTAGTTTTAAGTGGCTCTAACTCAAGACATTAGACACCACTTTGTAGCCATGGCTGCAAGGAGCAATGAGCATATTTCTCATGGCAGCAGCCCAAGACCCCCAGACTTGATACCAGCGATGAGCCACATTGTGGAGTTGAATAAAGAGGCCCCGCAGGCCTGGCTGCTATGAGGGAGTCCTGACTCAGAAGAGTGGTGCTGGCAGGATGAAGAGGAGCAGCGGCTGTTTGAGTTACAGAAGCTAAAGCCTCAGAATATGAAGAGATGTGATGGAAAATGATTTCCAGGCAGCAGACTCACAGACCCTCCAGAGAAGAGCAGACCTCAAACTTGTTTGAATACTGGCACAATGAAACAGACAAATCAGGAAGTTCTTTTGCAGGATCCAGAGGTGATATGACTTATTTTCTGTCCCATAATCGATGGGATTATTCACAAGTAAGGTCTTTTACCTGCTTTTTGTAACATAACAATGAGTAAGGTCTTTTTACCTGCTCTTTTGTAATGTTAACAAAGAGTAAGGTATTTTCCCTGCTTTTTGTAAAGTGTCTCGAGATAACACTTGTTATGAGTTGACGCTATACAAATAAAAACTGATTGGTTGATTGATAAAATACTGGACAGTCCATTGTGAGATATTGTGATTCATATTTCCCATGTGAATTTTGGTTTAGTGTTTAATTTGGCAAACAATGGTATTCATGAAATATTTTTCTAAAAGCTCTGTAGCCAAAGATAAAAACAATGCAATGTGAATCAGGAGCAGGTCACGCAACAGCTCACTAGTTTGTTATTTTGACTTTAAAATAACTTAAAAGTAGACAGAAATGTGATTATCATCACTGAAAGGGGTTTTCCTATTTGGAAATTCCCTAAACCATGCCCCATGAGTATTCTGGCAGACCTTCCTAAAATAAAGTTGTTTGCCTTCTTTTCTTTCTGAGTGATTTCTGGACATGCTAGCAAGCCCAGACGCTAAGGCTGGCAGGATGTCCAGGTCAATGACCTTGAATTGGCTTTGTTCACTTTGTAGCCCATTTGTAGATGGGCAAGTAAGAGGAGACTGTTTCTGTTATCAATTATTCTTAAACCTGCAAAAACAGATTTCTAGGTAACTTTGGAACATTGAAAATCAAACTGTGAACACAACAGAGCTTTTGAAATGTATCAAGCTAACTAAAAAAGACACAGGGCAACATAACAATTCATTTTGAGTCATGTCTTCTGCAAACTAAGAAATTCAAGTCCAATATTTGCTCTTTTTGTTTTTCACTTTTAATTTCAACTAGGGTAGGGTGATTGTCCCCTTTTACATATTGTCCAGTTGTGGTTTCTCACATTTCCATTTGTGATCCCATGGCGCCCACCGTTTAAAATGTCTGCAGTTCATGATTTGTGTAACAATCACCTAATTTTACCAACTCAAGCTACTGGTCATGTTGTTGGTGTTAAATGTGTTGTCGGTTTGTAATCTCTTTTATGTTTTTTTATGAAGAGGAAACTGGTTGCCATCATGTTGGATACTTCTCATACTTTCACAATTGTTCAATGTAAAGCAATGGGCAAACTTTACCTTTTATAGGATGAGGTCTACTCTTCTTTTTCTTTTTTTTTTTATCTAATGCAGTTTAGTTATTTAAATTTTGAATCAACTTGTCTGCCTAGCAGACAAACATGCAGCTCCACTAGAAACATCACTAAAGCTCAGCAGGGAGCAGATTCTACTGATATTTATAATCATATCCTAGTTTTTATGATCAGGTAGCAACAATGTCTTAATATCTACATTGGAAAAAACACTTTATAATCGCTTCCATGTTCCCAAGTAAATCAATCACAAGACTAGAGCTCCAACAACTCTTAAGGGAAAAGTCTGGCTTTTGAGCTTCTTAATTTAGTGAGCGTCATCACCAGCAAGTAACTATTTTTGTGCAGGTATTACTCTGAGCTTAGCAGGTAATGTAAAGTGATTTTTCTTCCAAATAAATCTTGAAGCAACACTTAAACTCTGATGGCTGTGAAAGTTACACAGAACAGTAACGTTGCTAACAAGAAAGCAGAAATAAGGAGCTGAATAAAAAAATGCTTCTGATAAAAAACTGCACCTTTCTCCCTTTAAAAACATTGCTTGGGTTCAAGCTTTCCAATCCTCATTGCCGAACTGCCGAAGGAATAGTATGTTAAGATACGCTTTCACCTCCACAGTTGGAAATCAGTTAAGGATGTGAGACCACCTGGTGAGGATGCCTGCCAGTTGTAAACCTCTATCTAGAGCCACATTGGGCATGACTGACTGGGGGTATGGAGACAGTATAGCCTACTTTCTGTAGGAATTATATCTCCCATCTGCCCTGGGATTTCTTCTTCTTCTTCTTCTGGGATCTGGCAGAATGTGCTGTAGATATTTGCTGCTCTGCTTCCTCTTGGCTCTCAGTCCTGCAACCATGAAACACTTCTCTTCCATTGTCTATTGTTTGCTGTGCACACAAATCTGTCACTTCTCATAAACACAGATTCTTTTATTGCATTTCCAACTGCTCACCTTTTGTTACATAAGATGTTGTTATTGGTCACACAGGGAAAGCCAGGAAAATGTTTGTTTTCCTTTTTGTTTTATCATCTTGCCAAGACTCGTATGCTCTGTTTCTTTTTTTTTTATGACAATTTAGTAAATTGTACGGACAATTATACGTTGGGTGTATTTTTTTTTTTACCTTTATTGTCTTTAATATCCACTGCTGCCTGCGCCTCCAGCAGCAGAGAGATGAGCTCCTTGTTTCCACTCAGAGCAGCATGATGCAGCGACGACAACCTTCACACAGACACAGATTATGTATAAAAATACACATATTCACGGATGGGGTGTAAAACCAGAGCATAACTTTGCTGAAATAATCTCCAGCGTAGTGCAGCTCCTCCCCTCAGCTCTGTGTGAGCGGCGGGAGGGGGCAAATGACCTACTTCCATTAATAAGCAATCTCTCTACCCCGGAGCAGAGCGTGAACACAGCATGTCTGTGTGTGTGTATGTGTCTAATGGATCCCTGGTGAATATAAGGGCTGGGCCCTGGAGTCAAATCAGCGAATCATCAGTCATTACACAAGGAGCTGAGTCCAATTATCTGATTCCAATCAACATAATAAAAAGATCTCTGTTATCTGATGGAGCCAAATGCAACACAATCGCAAACCAAGCATGTGCACATAAAAGCTTAACCAATCGTGAGTCTAAATATAGCCGAAATCCATAGTTGTTCATTCAGAGATTATATGGGAACATTTATGAGACAATTAAGAGCTGGGAAATGTTGGCATTCCTTTGAGGTAATTACAGGCTTCAGATCTAGATTACTACATATTTCATATTTCAGAGATAGACTGTAGCTGATACAATTATTATTAACTATTATCAAAACAAGTATTGATCTCTAAAGGAGATCCTTATTCTGCTTGCTTCTGTTAGTTGGATGATTACAACTTTTACAACCCAACATAGAAACAAGTCAACAAGTCTAGTACAAGTTTTGGTTTTTCTCAGGGCCCCCTAACAGTGATGTCATAGGGTCCTTGAGTACGCCTGTAAATCACTACAGCAAGATGAAAAGTTAAACTACTGGAAGGTGGCAAAGGCAAGATTAGGGTGTTAGGTAACTTTTTAAGTTTTACAAGCTTGTAAAGAAACAGGTGATTGTTATTATCAGTTTTTTTGGGGCTGTGTTACTGACAACATAATCAATTTAACTACAAAATGTCAGCCGGTTTTTATTCCCAAGTTGCCAAATACGGATGCTTTGTCATTTCCCAGACATGGTACCATGTTACAAATGTTAGCCTTTTGCATCTTCATTCACTGTAAACCCCATCAGATGGATTATCAAACCCTCAGTGCAACAGCTCCTATTGATATATTGGAAAACCAGACAACAAAGCACTCTCACTCACATCCAGTGGCGACTGGTCATTAGGGGCAGGTGGGGCACAGCATCATGTATAAGCTATGACTAGCATGTTCATAATTTGCAATGAATTTCTTTTTAATTTTTTGGGGGAAAAAATACTAAAAATAAAGTTTAAATAAGATTTTAGTTCATGTTTATTTGTCTTTTTCTCCCGTTTGTGTCTGCAGTAGAACTATGCTGGCCGGAGGGGCAGATCCGGGCCTGCCCCTCCTACAGTGCAATGTGTAGCGCTAATACGCATGCTCAGAGTGTTAGTGTATGTAATGTAAATCAGAGAAGAAAAATGACAAGTGGGGCTCACAGCTCGTAGCCCCACTGAAATGTCATGTGTTCTTTTAGAGTTGATTGGTTGATATCATTCAGAGTGGCTCGGGGGATTGGCTATCTGTCTGTGACTGTAGCAATGAATTAGTCGGGCAGGAAGCGGGAGGTTTTGAAAGCTAACGAAGTTGTAAAAATGAATGAAGTGGATTTCTTACTCCAGCAAGGTTTGAAACCATGAATGTGCAAGGGAAGTTGGAGTTAAAGCACATTTGAGCCCACCAGCCGAGGGATCATCACCCAAACTGCCAGTAAAACAATGTCGAAGAAAAAGCGGTTAACGGTTAGCATCGAGAAGACGGCGCTCTTCTGTTTCCCGTGTCTGCTATTCTGCTAAGATGGAACCTGGTCGAGGACAGGTTTCAAAGATCTTAAACCTCTTTCTGAGAGGATCACAAAACATGAGAGCGGCAGGATTCCTCTGGACAGCGCGTTGAAACTGCGCTAACTTGGAAAAAGTAAATGTCGCTGCGCAAACTGAACAGCGCTTACAGGCGATCGTTTGAGCAGCATAACAGACGGGTGGAGGAAAACCGGTGCATGCTCAATCTGATCATAACGTGAATTAAACTGTGGAAAATGTGAAACGGCACTACGGGGCCTCGACGAGTCGGCGGACTCTCTTCACCCTGGAATATTCAGGTGCATTTTTTTTTTAATAGAGAGGAACTTTTCCACCCTGAAGGGGATAAAAATGTTCACCCGCAACACCATGGGACAGCCACGACTCAACGCTTTGGCGATGCTCTCTATAGACAGCTAGCTGATTCAGCAGCTACAGGACTTCATCCCTAATGTCAGCGAGTATTGGTTTATGAGGATTGGATATTTCATGTTTAATTTAGGCTTGTGACAGTAGAAGGAGCACTAACTCTCTCTCTCCCACTCTCTCTTTGCGAGTGTGTGTGTGTGCGCGCGTGTGTGTCAGTGTGTGTGTGTGCGCGTGTAAGAGGCCACTCTGCATAGTATTTTGTTAAACCAAGAATGACCCCTTGACATGTAAAAAATTAAATAAATCACATCAGTAGTTAGAGTACTGTAGTTTTCCTGGTATAGCATATCTTAGAGAGGTTGTGCCCCACCAATTTTTCACACATAGAAACGCCACTGCTCACAACATAAGGAATCGGGTCCTATGGGAGAGAAAAAGTCAACTTTGTGTTATTAACTTAACTCAACCCATTCTCTTTTTACTCAACTTAACAGGTTTGGTCTAACTTAACAAAACCAACCATTTCATGTTAAGCAGCTAAGAGGTAGAAAGAAAACAGTTGCACCATAAAAAAGTGCAAGTATATGAAGATTTTGGACACGCAAAGGTGATGAAAATGTAATGGTAAGTTGTAGAGTTGTTGACTGAACAGATAAAAATTACCTTTAAACCAACTTAATTTAAAGATTTAGCTAAGAATTCAATATAGTTTCATCTGTATGGTAACCCCCTTTCACATTATCTGATTGATTTCTCATTGACATATTACAACAAAATATTGATTATATCGGAAAGCAAATCAAATCCTTCAGGCAATCCTTTGACCCAAGATAAGCACCATTGCCCTCAATACAATTTTACCCCCTTGCTATGCAGTGTTCAACCACAATACTATTTTATTTTTCATGTAGTTTCAAAATATTTTGATTCAACAAAAAAATGTATACGTGGGCAAATATAAGGTAATGTTAAATCAGTGATACAACCTCGATCTACCTTGCAATAACATGCATTATGTTGTTGCACTTTTTTGTTTTGCTATGTTTTAGCTCTTCTTAAACATGTGTCCTCCAGGCATCTCATCTAAGGGCGCTGATGACAGTGTGACCAGTGTGATGACCAGTGTGACCGCGCCCTTAAGATGAAAAGTTAAACCACTGGAAGTCAACATAACCAAAACTTACAGGGGAGCAAAAAATGCAAATATGTAAAAAATAGCAGAAAGAAAGGCAGGAAAATGAACTTTAAAACATTTGATGGAAATGTGCAACAGTAGCAAAAATAAAATTATATTAAATAAAAAAACATTTAGTTCCTCACCCGTCTGCATCCTGGATGTTGACGTTCACCCGCTTTGCTGCTCCGAGGAGCTCTAAAACAAGGAGAGGAGAAACATACTCATTAAAAAACAGTCAAATTTAAAGCTTTTTTTCCGGTTTGCAGTTATTTAATTATATTCTCCTTGCATAGTTGCACATATTTTGTTCCCTGCTGGGAGTCACAGACTGGATTATATACCTGAAAAAAATTGACAGTTTCCTGACTCCAACCACAACAAAACAACAACACTAACAGAGGTCAAGGAGAAGTGAAAATATAAGAAGACAAAGAAATGTCTCACTGGGAAGCTTATCAGAAACCTGCTAAGTCCCATATAAAATAGTATAATATTTGGATGAAAAGACTATAGTCTGAATTGCATTAAACATCAAATATTTATTTGATATGAGCGGTAATACAGGCTTGTCTTACTTCAGGGATTAAGAGCATTACTTTAGTCATGAATACTTTCATTGTACTGGTGAATTAACAACAAGCTTTAGTGTGCAGTAACAAGGCTACACAGGAGGCTCGTCGTTTTAAGATTTAAAAAGTAGGCATTCAGAAGAAGATTGTTATTATGTTTAACATGTAGACATATTCTGATTCCATTTTTTCCTTACTGACACAGTTTTTTCTACTAAGACTTGAGTATTGGTTGTTTCCCCCCCAAGTTTCATTCAATAACAGTGCCATAAAAGAAATATATACCTACAAATGGACAATTTTGTGGCTTTATTCAATAGGACAGCTGAAGAGAGACAGCAAACATTGAGAGGAGAGGGTGGGGGATGATATGCAGTAAAGGGGCAAAGTAGGATTCAAAACCCACAGCCCCTCCAACGAGGTCTATAGCCTCTATATGGGGTTTGACATCCGGCATTACAACATTTTGCTTTTTAACTTGTTTACAGAGGTGTGTCTCCAGTCTCCCCGGCCCTTGGGCAGGGGTGGCCTGAAGTGTTATGTGCGCACAAACACACACAAATACAAATCAATTATTTAGTCTTTCTAACTTTACTAATCATGTGAACCAGTATACTTTATAACACAAGGTAACGGTAACATACATAAACTATTAGCTTAATTCATTATTCACACAAAAATATGTCTGTTCAAAGTCACAATTTAAAGTACTTAATTCCATGCAAACTCCGGCACACTAACTTAAAAAAATGAAAATGAATTGGCATTGTCAGTTAGTTAATTGCATGTAAGACCGTGTGTTTTAGAATCCTGTGCACATGTCTTATGAAATAGATGTGCAAAGTATTTATTTAACGAGCAGCATTTGGCAAAAAAGACAGAATAGTTGGTTTTAACATAAATTCCACGTTTGACAGGGTAAAGAGCCAATCACAGTGTAGGATTTTTGGATCAAATTTCAAGGAGGGCCCATGCCACCCCTCTGGACACCCCTCTGGACACCCCTCTGGACACGCCCCCTGCCTGTTTTGCTCTGGCTAACGTTACACTCGACGCTAGCTCAATGTTGTATGGCATCATCATGTGATTATTTATTTGACCTCAAATGAATTCTTATTTCCCTTAAACATGTATATATAATAATGTATATTTGTGTTGTCTATTCTTTTGTATTGTATGTCTTTTAAAATGGACCTTGAGTCTAATAATAAAAGTTGATGATGATGATGATGATGTCACATATGTAAAATAAACCTTTCATCTTTCAATCATTTACTTGTCTCTCCTGATTGAAATATAATGTTACTGTGCAGATGACTGCTTGAGAATTTTGCAATTTTGTAACGGCTAATAAATTGTGATACTGGATCGGTGAAAGATCTGCCTTCTTGGTATATGCAATGCATTAATGGGATCTGCATTACAACAACTCTTTTTTGTGCATGGGAGAAAGTTGTGTCTTGATATTAGACACAGGAAAAACTTGGAATTGAATTGTAACAGTGCCATAAATTAGCAGTTCTCTTTAGAAAAAAATAGTAGCAATGCTGTAGATAATACGAGCAAGCATCTCAACACAGTGCATGGAAGATATAAGCTACACATGATTTTTTGATGTCTGCATACAAGTATTACCTTCTAGTGCTAAATATGTGGCGTCTTGGCAGATTGGTGTATGCACGAGTGCAGAACTGTTACCAGATCTTTCAGCGCTCTCTTGCAGCACCTGCAATGCCATTCAGAGGGTGGAGTCTCGTTTACTGTTTACAATTTTATTAAACGTCTTGTCAATAGATTTAGGAGTGATACAAGGTTTCCAACATGTGTTTGCTTCTTACAATTTAGCGGTGTCTGTTGTTTAGCATTTGGCTTTAATATACATGTTATACAGCTAGTACAGATATTATGCACCAGGTAGATCAATCTATGTTTTATAGATGCAAATCGAGTAAGGTTTATTTTTTTGCCCTCAAATGTTTTGAATATACAAACTTAAGAAAATGCTTCAACCCTTTAGGAATTATGAGTTATTTGTTGATTTCTTCTGTGAATATGTTAAAACATTGATACCATTGTCATGTCAGTAGCCTATATAGTAAGATTGCTGTAGTGAGCCTATGTAAGTTTTAATGCAAATGTGTGCATCAGTGTGTTGGTAATAACCTTGACTTTGAAAGAACCCTCACAAAGACAAAGATTTTAGACAGCAGGATAGAGAAGCACACAAAAACAAAACACATACACACTCAGAAAAAAAGCTGCTTGTTTGTCTCTCTGCATCCACTTTTTTTTTTTTTTTTTTGGTCAAACCCTCTTAATCCACAGGCCATAATCTGTAGCTGTTCTGTAATCTGGGGAAAAGCTTCTCCCTCTCTCTGCAGCTCTATCTGCACTTCATCCCTTCATCCTGCTCTCACACTCTAATTTTCCCTGTAATTTGCTAAAGAGCGGCGTGCTGATTGGTAACTCGGCTGTTTCTGTTTACACTCTGCAACTGACATCACTCTCGTCTGCATGTGTGTGTTTGTTTGCACATCTAGCCACCATCCCGAAACGATCTATCTTGGATTAAAAACAAGAACCAGCCTCCTCCCCCTCCTGCCCTTCCCGAGGCAGATGAATCAATGAGTGCAGATATCTGTGTCACCATCAAAGAGCCACATGACACCGGACAAAAAAACTTCAGATAGGACCACCATATCCACCCGACAAAAATTATTCCACCTCCACTTTCTCACAAGATTATCCTTCCTTTACAACATGAATTCTGGATCACGGCATTATTTATTAAAGCTCCCAGCCTGACCCAAAACCATGTCTATTTAATCAAATATTCTGATGTAGCTGCCTGAAACAAGGTATCCCTCAACCCTAAACAAAATCATCCTTGCTGGATGTCGAAACGCTCACTAAAAGCAAGTTTTCATCTTTAAATATACTCTTATTGCTCTAAACTGCCCAATTGAATCATATACTTTAAATTTGCGTCCTAATATCTGATTTATGTATTCTCCTTCTTTGTTGGTCTGACAGCATTATCATAATGTGTCTCTGAAGCTGTCCTTGGAGCAGGGTTCATATTTATTTATGATAATTTTTAGGCAAAACACTATAACCGAGCCCATGTAACCATAGCAACCAGTTCTATGTGCCATTTGTGCAGACTGTCAATCACTTTGCAGAAATTACCATGATAGTATTTTGCAGCATGTCCCTCAATTGCAGCTATTTCAGACATTATTGTGGCATTAAAAAAAATCCTGTCATTCCTTTTTAAGTACAATATTCATTTTAATTCTCAAATGCCAAACAACATCACGACTGCAGATGAATATGAGCCTTTGGGCTAATGTGGGTACATTTACATTTGTATGATGTTGATTAAAGTACATTGTTCCTTTGAGGAAATAAATAAATTGAAACTCTCTGCTCTTTCATGCAGGGTGCAAAATGTCTCGTCTCTGCCAACAAGCTTTCTGTCTGACCGAGCAGATTCCACCAAAAACATCGAGACAGGTGAAGTGGAGGTTTTCTCAGGGATTCTTATTACCAGAAATATTCTAGAGTCCAGTTTTTCAGCACCTCAGACTTTTCCTGTCATCATAAATTAATAGTTGTAGTTTACCACATAGCCTAAAAGCAAAAAGACATACCGGACCTGACTTTTCTCTCTGTGTTTTAAATGATAGCACACACATGTTAAAGTGACTAAACTCAGGGTCATCATGTTTAAATATTCAAAGAAATAGATATCAAATTTTACTCAAAGAACAAAATGACACCTAAGATTATAACATGAAGAAAACATGCAGATATATGCTAGAAAAAAACATAATGCTTTGCATTTTAAGACTCTTTTCAGTTAATTTGTATGAATATTTGTTCAGAAAATGAAGCATTCAATAACTGCTGCTGCAAATATTTAAGTTCTAGTTGTTCCATTATTTTTTATGGCGCTCCAGTTCTTATAGAGAGGATGTCTTGTCTCTCTTTTCATTAGTCTGAGGTGCTTAAAGCTTTCTGAACAAGTTGAGACAATAAGAACAGAAAATGTTAACAAGTTACTTTCCATGTCTTAATATTAAACCTTTTGAAATGGAGTTCCCGGCTTTGGCAGATTTGTTATACATAAAAATCATTTCAGCTTTCCGGAGAATCTAGGTCAGTAGTGGCAAATCAGAAAAAAGGAAATGAGAGTGCACTACTAGTGCCAAAGAGTGCTCTGCACAAACATGTCAGTAAGAATATGATTTTAAGAAAAACATCAGACACTTTAAATTCATCTCTGGAGATTAGTTTGTTTTGTCCAGTAATCATAAGAAAGACAACTATAAATAATGAAATAGCTTCTTTGTCTTTCTGTGCACCAAATCTTAAACCATCAGAGAAATATGTGGTTACATTTAGCTTTCCTCTGATGACAGAATTTTACAAATATGTGAAAAGTAATGCATTTTTAATAAAACTCAAAAAAAATAAATGTGTAACAGAAAGATAGAGGGACATTGCATCTTTATCTTCTCATTTGCCATACCTTCTTCTATCTAGCTGGCTATGCAGGAAACACAAGAAATGGTGTATTTGCTGCTGGTTTACCACTGTACTGTGTCAGTTTGGATGCAGTTGTTCTGTACCTTTAATGGGACCAGAATGTCTTACATCGTACTTCAGCCCAGGCAGTAGGATGTGTAAAATAAACAATATAGTGCAGTTTCACAATGAGATTATCAATGGGCTGATATATCATATGACTTAGTGTCCATTTCAGCTGCTTGCTACAAATTTGAGGACATAAAAAAGAGGATACAGATGTTTGTGTATCTCTGAATTAGTGAGGTTTATTGCAACGGAGCCAAAGATAAGGAAACCGTTGCGAAGTGTTTTCGAAATATTCTTTGTAGGCAGATTATAAAATGGCTACTAATGCTATCTTGTCAACTTCATGTAGAGAATACTCATCTATAGACACAATGTGCCATTGTAAACATGGACAGGGTTCATTTTACGTATTTTCCTCATTAGCTTCCTCAAAATACGAACTAGAACATATTCTGTTTATTATTTATTTTTAAGTGCGGAAAACATTCCCCTAGAAATACACTACTACATCTAGTGTGACTAAAGTTCACAGGGACAAAAAAAACACAATCTATCTTTTGGGAACACTTTTTAAAGACTGTCTACAGTAGGAACAAAATAATTGAAGCTGAGAGCCACAGACAGCTTGGGTCGATTGAAAGACTTGAGAGAAGCTTGCTTTGTTTTGGTCTTAAAGGAAGAATGTGCATCATTTTACTCACGAATATAACAGAAATCAAATATATCATATGTAAATGTTTCTCTGAGTCATGCCTGTCTACATTGAGTGAGAAGCGTGAGTCCGCCAGCTGTATTAGTGTTGGAGCCGTGTTTATATCATGTTTACATGGACGGGACGGCCTTGCATATAAAGCTGTTTTAGTTAAGGACTACAGAAAAGAAGAATAAAACAGCACTGCTTGTTCTGTGTTAATTTATGTGCAATATGAAGCTATGAGTTAACCAAAGTGCTAACATTGTCCTGATAACACAACAATGCAGGCAACAGGCAATTGTAGCTCGTGCAAAGAACAATTTTGTCCGCCGCTTGCGCATCACGGTGCTTAATTATGGTGCGTTCTAATTAATAACTCCTTCATGCGAGCCGGGGGGGGGGGGGGGGGGGGGTGTGCTGATCGAGGAGAATGTGGGCTTCATAGCGGAGGTGTCGTCAAACAGCAGTTTGTTTTGGTTTAATGCTGGTGCTCAAGGGCGACATCTACTGGATCAAAAACTTGCACATTCTTCTTTTAAGGAAAATTAGACGTGTAGTGTTAGCAGTAACATCTTAGTATAATAATAGACTGATCAGTCTAATATTAACATTAGAAACTATAAATATTCTGACAATTGAAAGTTGAGCAGCTCTAAGGTTCACTTTAACATTTGTAAAAATGATAATAGACATAAGACTGATATTAATAGTTGTAGCTGTTAGACTTACCCAGCCCCTGCCTTATTTGGACCAATGCACTTTGAATAACCTTAAAGAAGAACTGCTGTTATTGGCTGTGAACTAAATCATGTAAATTAATATATTTTTTAAATCTTGTAAAAAAGGAACAATCTTATAGGGGTCTCATTTAACCAGAGCTGTTAGATTATGTTTTATCTGAAAGGAACATCAATCTTCTCTTCTAATTATTGCATAGATGTGAAAAATATGGACCTGTTGCTTCAATTTGTTTCATAGAAGAGGCGTTTTGTTCAAGAGGGACAGTATAGTGAAATGGACTTACACATCCTTCCCATCTCTTCATTTTGACAGAGTCAAACAGTCACCATAGCTCCCGCCACACTCATTTTTATCTTATAGGCTACTTAATATCACAAGTGCAGGCAGACATCTGAATCACACTTGGTGTGTTGCTTTGCATAAAGGCTTGTGTGTGTGTTAGAGGTGTTAGAGTGTGTGTGTGAAGACAGTGATTCTCCAGCAGAGAAACCTGACTTCCTGTTTAATTATTCAAACATAAACCTGTAGTCACGCTGTCAGACACACTCACTCACACACTCACACACACACACACACACACACACACACACACACACACACACACACACACACACACACACACACACACACACACACACACACACACACACACTGGTTTGCCATACCTCGTCATTTAACCTTTCCCCCATCATATCCTGTCTCTTTACCCCCTGAATTCACAGCTCCTTGTCTCCCTCCTTCTGCACCCTTGCACGTTTCCTCTCCTATTCTAACTGTCCTCACGCCTCACCCCCCTCACCCTCGTCCCAACTCCCCCTTTCGCTTTTGTCAGTGTGCAGTGGACTGAGCACTCAGCCCTGATCTGTTCTGGCATTTGAGGAGAAGCATTTTGCTTTTCCATGGCACTGCTGGAATGTTCCGATACAAACGCACACGCAGAAGAGGAGAGGAGAGGAGAGGAGAGGAGAGGAGAGGAGATGGGATGAAAGGAAGAAAGGACAGGGGAGAGGAGAGGAGAGGGGAGCAGTGTAGAGGAGAAGAGAGGGAGGACAGGCAGATAAAGCAGTGGGGGATTGAGGGGAGGACAAGAGAAGATTGAAGAGGAGAGGGGAAGATGGAGTGGCAGAGGACAGGAGAGGAAATCTAAGCAAAAGAGAGGAGAGGGGAGGGCAAATGAAGAGATGACAAGGAAACTTAGGGAGGAGAGGAAAGAGGGGGAAAGATGCTAGCAGTAAGGAGGAGACAAGAGGGAAAAAGTGGAGGTGGGACAAGGATGAAAAGTGAGAGGAAAAGAGAGGAGAGGACAGGAAACATAACGAGAGGAGGCGAGAATGGAAGAGGAGAGGGAAGGAAGGAAAGGAGAAGCGAGGAAACAAGAGGATGGTAAAGCAAACTAGAAGGTAGGAAAAGACAAATGGTCAGGCGAGGAGGATGAAGAGTTAGATGAAACAATAAATCAGAAGAGAGGGGAGGAAGGGGCAGTAAGAGGCATGAAGGAAGAAAGATGAAGAGAGGAGACGGAACGGAGAGGGTGTACTGGAAAACAGAAGATTAGGAAAAGAGGGGAAGCAGAAGGAGGAGAGGAGAGGAGACAGAAGGGGAGGCAAAGGGAGGAGGTGAGATATTTCAGCTCGTGGAGATGAAATAGGAGAGGAGGAGAGCAGTTTCAAGGCTGTAATTGAAATCTAATTATCACCTCAAGTCCCAGCTGACTCAACGTCAAGCAGCCGCAAACACGCACGCGCGCGCGGTCTGAGCCCCACATCTGTGCGCGCATGCCACATGTCTGCACGTGCGCACTTACGATCATCACATTATTACCACTAACATCTGGAGCCTTCACACACTAATAATCAACTCGTCCCGAGAGCGGTGTGGGACCTTCGTGTACTTTCACCTTTTACTCTCTCTCTCTCTCTCTCTCTCTCTCACACACACACACACACACACACACACACACACCCTCAAGCTGTCACACACACATGCTGTTGGGATATGTGTGACAAGCATTTCTAGCTCCTAATTATATTCTGACTCTTCTCACACACATGCAACGTCATCACTATCACACACCCAACGTCATAGCACAAACATACATCGAGACCCCCATGAAGCAGGAGGAAAGTATCCTCACACTAAAACCAACACAGCCACGCACAGTGCACCATTAGGGCCAAATGGCATCGCATCAGATTTTGCCTGCACTGTCCTGACCTGGTAATGCTGATGTGTGTGTGTGTGTGTGTGTGTGTGTGTGTGTGTGTCAGCAGGATGGATGGATGGATGGATGGAGGGATACTGACTGGCTTTCCCTGGCCGAGGTCTCTGTAGAAGCCGCTGAGCTGTCAGCAAGTCTTCCGTCTTGACGGCCTGGAGCAGCTCCTGGTCCTTCCCCATGTCCCCTCCGTCCCGCCCCGCTCCGCTCGGTCCCGCTCTCTTCCTCTGAGCGACCCTCTCTCCTCCGTTAATACGCTGCTACATCCTGCCGCCGCTCCGGGCCTCCCGCTGGAGCCGAGGCGCGGAAGGATGGGTGCTTCTGCCGGGAGTGGGATGCTCCGGTTCGGCCAGGAGTCCAGCGCAAGATCCGTCTGTAACCTCACAATCCACGCGCGGTGCTCAAGACCCCACTCCGAAAACCGACCGACTGGACCCCGCTCTCTGTCGCGCTGCTCACCGGCCGCGCAGAAACGCTCGCGACAGATTCCACAGATTCAATCCGCGTGACGATTTCACCGGGTCTACGTGCGTTGCCGTGCGCGGAAAAACGGTGGAACTAGAGCGCCCTCCTGTCTGCTGGGTCAAATCCCCACCGCTGAATTTTTTTTCACCGCTGGGCCCTCAAACCGCAGAACAAACACAAACGAGTCCCCTGATGGTTAACGTGTGACCGCTGTCCTCACCACTGTGCTGGACCAGCTCGCGCCGGCTCTCGTGCGCATACACACACGCACTCACTCACTCACTCACACACACTCACACACACTCACATATGGCATTACATAAACATGAGCTACTTGAGCGCGCACCACTCCAGTGGTTGTAATCCCGGTCCGCGAGTCTGCGCGTGTGGGCAGACAAGTCAGGAGAGGTCGTTTGACAACGTAATATAAAATGTACTGAGTCGCGTGCGAGAGGGGCACTAGAGCGCGAGACAGTGGCAGTCCGGGATCGCGCAGACCCATGAGACCCTCAGCAGTTCAAGTCGAAGTAGATCTCATTAAATTTGCTTTAATGATTTAAAGGGCTATTCTTTACTCTCAATCTATTTTATTCTAATTATCTTTTGTTTTTATATTACTTTAACATATTTTCTAAACACTCTATCTAGACCTGTATGATCAACTGTTCTTGCCTTTATCTATGTCAGAGGTGATTGTGTTACGTCAACATTTTAAGGTTAATGAGACGGAGATAATAGATAATTTGAGGGCAGCAAACGTACGTGTGTGTGTGTGTGTGTGTGTGTGTGTGGGGGGGGGGGTCCCTTGTGCAGGGCTAATTTAGACTAAAAGGGCCACTGCCAGTCAGATTTAGGACAGGAAGTAGAACACATGACAGATAACTGGTACTTCATGAAAAAAAAAAAAACAGCAGCCTGTGTGTATTTGTGCGCTGATGTTAAGATTTTCTGATTGAAATGGCTTAGTTGTTCTGTTGAGTCTGTTTTTGTTCAGAAACAGATTAACCTACAACATGGGCCCTGGCCAAAATGAGCTGTACATTACCTCACCCCAACCCACCCACTACAACTTGGCAATAAGATTAAATTAAATTTAGGTTATTCTGCTGCCTGCGAAAAATGTAAGACTTAAACATTCACACTCTTTCTGGTCAACAGGTAAAGATACGTAAATAGTCAGTATGCATTTTCTTCTCCATAAAAAGCATGTGCCTTCAATTTGCACTCTAATAAAAATGAAACAAAGACAGTGGAGAAGTTTCAAAAAGTTGAAAGTCTGAAAAGAACAAAACGATTATCTGGTTTGGAGATGCATGTTAAAACCATAGGTTAAAACCAGTCGAAGGCTGGGCTAGCAGTGCTATGCTCTGTGGCAGCAACTGAGTAAAGCAGTGATTTGAGCTGATTGCTATAACCAACAATAGGTAAAGTCAAGGGATCACAGAATATAATGAGTGTTGTAAACACCTTTTGCTGATTGCTCTAGTTTTACAGCATTTCTGTATTTTGCATCTCAACTACTCTCACCAATCCCATTGACTGCTGAGCAGGCAGCAGACAAAGTTACCTTACTGGTCACAGATATTTTTAAAGGTCACATATTATGCAAAATATACTTTAACATGGTTTTCAAACACTAATGTGTCCCTAGTCCCTATCCCTGTCTTCAAACACCCCAATTATGAAAAAAGTCAGTCATCTCATTCTTTTGCCTTCTACTGTTTTCAGAAAATGTGTGCTAAAACTGGTTTTTGGAGATTTTCCTTTTGTGACATCACAAAGGGCAGTAACCCCTCCCCCAGATGGGTGACACTCCACAGCAAGGTGTTTGTTCTGCCTCTGAGTCGGCAAATTTCCACCTCTGGTGGACATTAAAGATTTATTACTTTCAGAGGGTCATGGTCAGACACAGCTCATTTACATTTAAAGCTACAGACACAGAAACAGCCTGTTCTGAGCAGGGCTGAAATAGAGGGTTTTATAAGCAGAGTGGATTTTGGTAATAAACTTCACAGAGATGTTTTGGGGAGCCCTCAGACTTATTTAAAATTGTTGAAAATGAGTATAAATATGTGACCTTTAAGGCACTGATGGAAATTAAAACTACAATAGCACAAAATAATCAAAGAACAGCAAAAATGGGCACGTTTCTCATCTTTGGATAAGCAGTCTGATCCTACAAATGTTTATTTTCTTAAGAAACAGTTATTTTCTTGTGACACCTGCATCAGAATCATTGAATGAGAAGACCACAGCTGCAACAAGAGTTTTTCTTTCAATTATGTTGACATTACATTAAATACATACTTTATGAGACGTTCAGATTACTTGTTTACAAGGCAGACTATAAAAATCTCAAGAGCATGCTTTTCCCCGTTCTTGGAAAAATGTTATTTTTCAAATTGCCTATGTTTTCTAAAGGCAATGCCTCAATTAACACAGTTTTTCTAGAAAACTATTTTTTCTGAGATAACAAGATTATTAAGCCACAATCTCGAGATAGTAAGGTTGAGAACCAAACCAAACTGCAACCAATGGCAATAGCATATGAAATATACAGAACAAAACAAAAACAGTTATGTTTTGCAATATTTGAGAACGAACATATTCAACTTTTAGTATGTCAACTTCTTTTGCTGATTTTGTTGTGAAAGACATGAATTAATCCATCTTTAAACAGCAGCAAATTCTACTTTGTTATTTGTTCAAAAAGACATGGGATAAAAGCAGTGGTGTGGTCGACATAAATTATTTGATGAATATATGTCCTGCATACATCAATGTTAAATGTACAAACCAAAACATTATGTACCATGTGTGTTCAGTAAAATATACAATTTTGATAATGTGATCAAATAACAGTTAAATAAATGAAAATAAAAAATATTATTAAAACACAAACACAACTTATTATTATTACAATACAAACACAATCTTCATACAGCAAAAGACACTTTCAACGTTTTGCTATATTAAGTGAGGGTATGCCTGAACATAGTCTTTATCTTGACAGCTGAGTCCAGGTAAAGCGCTTATATTTTCCGCACCATATGCATTGGTTAGAGCTCTCCTGCACATCTGCTTCAGGCGCTCTGGTCGCTGCTTGCGATAGGGAAGAGTCAGCTTACAGGATGAGCCAGTGTAGAACTTGAGCAGAAAGAAGATTGAAGCAAAAGTCCTGTGGCTTCCAAACAAACTGAAGAGCAGATTGTTTAGCACGACCCGAACACTGGTCGGTCCATCTTCACTTTGGTAACTCAAAGTGAAGAAAACATCCAACTGGCCACTGTCCCTGAAACAACACAGCAGCGAACAGTCAGTTTGTGCAAACTTGATGTGTTTTTATTTGTTGACATTTCTTTTTATGAAAACGTTACAATAACATTACAATAAAATACACTTAATGTCATCTGTTACAGTCAAGCAGCAACCACGGGCAGCAACTACTGCTGTGTCAGCAGGATCATCTTTAAACAGTTATTGCCTAAAAAGATCTCAAACTGGGATGCAGTAATAATAAAATGCATAAATACAACTATGTGTACGAGGCAAAATCCAGGCTCACTCATTTACAAAGTGCCTTCCAGGTGGATGAATACATTTGTGGTGCGCCAAAGTAGTGCTTAAATAAATTGGCTTGCTGATGGTAAATAACAGCGCTGATACATCGACATCTTCTTTGGCCAAATTAGATGTGTTCGTGTTACCCTCAATCATATCATCAGCACCACTGTGAGGAGTTATGAAGTAGTGACACAGCAAGTGAAATTGGTAGGGAAATCTGTTATAGCAATAGTTTTTTTTAATGAAATATCAATGTTAAGCACCAATGATTCAAATCTTGTATCACAAGACTCAGGCTGACGATAAAGATCAGTATTGATATTTCATCTTAGCCCTAAAAGGGGCTTTATTTTTTTTAGGGGGGCCGTTTTGCCTTTATTTGACAGCTACAGTAAGACAGCAAATGTTGGGAGGAGAGAGTGGGGGATGACATGAAGCAAAGGCCCTTATTCCTCAAACATGTTTGTGTGTTGGAGCCTTTTCAGGACTAAGGACTGATAATATTGGACTAATTATATCGCTTACTGTGTGGCTTTTAGTAATAGCAGAGCATCCAAGACGCATGCAGCTCAGTTTTTATTGTTTTAACACTAACCACATGTGGTTTGTTAGCTTGTGTTATTCTCTCTCCACAGAAAGTAGAAAGCAGAATGTAGTGATGAGAAGACTGGTTCTTTAAGCTACCTGGCAGTGTCACTCACTCACTGTACGCTCTTTCAACAAAATTTGTGTGAGTCAGCAGAGACACCCTACATACATCACATTATTATATATTTCATTAATAAGCTGCAACTTAAAAAACTGTTTTAAGTGCTTTTATGTGCTAACTACACATAAAAGGTCTCATTTAGGTTGGAATAGCGTTTTGTAAGGGACAACTGGACAAGAGAAGAGCATAATAAAAGTGATGAATGTTAGGTCAATAAAAAAACAAATAAGGGGACCCGAGTGCAGATAATAAAGCTAAAGAATGTATTTAACAAAAAGACCAAAAGGCAAAGAAACCCACAAAAGCTTAATTTATCCAGTTCAAATAAAAGTCCATCAAAAGTCCAAGAACAAATCCAACAAGAAAAAACAGAGCCACGAGGAAAATCAACACAGAACAGGACAGGAAACACTGGGCAAAAGAACTACAAAGTAAACCAGGACACACCAAAGACATGCCTAGGGAAATGTACCTGGGAAATTTAGAAACACGAGAAAGGAAAAGACAAAATAAAACAGGAAAGACAAATAACTTCACACAGGATATGAAAGGAAAAATACACAGGTAACACAGAAACACAAGGATACAAATGACAAAATAAAACAGGAAATCACATTTAAGTAACAAAACCAAGGAATAAACAAACTAAACTTAGGTAAATCATGACATGGATATAAAAAGACTTTTAAAAAGAATTGTACCTGATGAGGAAGGTGCCCAGGGGTGTGTCTGATAGTTTGTTGTGTGCCTCCTCCATGCTCATTGATCCCCAGTAGTATCCACTGTGTTGAAGCTGCCGGTAGGTGTGTTTCACTAGTTTATATTCTGCCGCGCTGCGGAATGGACGAAGGTGTGTGGGAAAGCACTCTGAATCAGCACCAGACAATGGCTAGAGAAACAGAAGGTGAAAATCAGTCAAATGAAGAGATTACAGTGCTTCACCTTATATACGATCTAAATCTTGTTATGTGAAGCATCAAATTTCGCTAAAAGTTACACTGACAAAACACCACTTCATTTTTTTCCATCAGGCTACATATAGGCTAACCTATTTGTGCAGGTTGTTAGTGAACATTGTGTTGTGAACATGGTATACGTTTTC